ATATTTTGTTTTGGGACCTTGGGAAGGTTGTTTGCTGTGTTTCCATAGCAATCCACTCCATTCTGGATCCCTTCTTCTCTCTTTCTCAAAAAAAAAAAAGTCTGTTTTGTGCTGCATTTTTTTGAACTCTGCCTAAATACCTTCCACTCCCTCAGGTAGGAAAGCTGTAAATTTAGCCCCAAAGTCCTATCCCATCTTCTCCTTCTTCGGATGAGGATCGGATATGTTTGAGGTTCAAATGGATCTGAACAAATATACAAACATTGACTTATATATATATATATATATATATATATATATATATATATATATATATATTTTTAAAAATATATTTTATTTTATTTGTTATATATGTGGGGTAGATGTGGATACTTTATTTTTGATCTTCTTGACTTCTCCTCCTCTGCCTATTTGCTCACTTGATGTGAATTTTTTTAATAATTTTTTTTAATTTTTTTTAATTAATATTTTTTGTATTTTTTTTAATTTTAAATTATTATTGTTATTTTTTTCTTATATTTTTATTAAGGATTTATTTAGTTTGCTTGTTTTAGTTGTGCTTGTATCATTTTATTTATCTCTGTTATATAGTTGTTTCTAGTAGGTATGTTTTGTTTGTTTTTGTAATTGTTATTTAATTATTTAATTGTTCTTTAATTATTCTTTAATTATTTAATTATTATTATTCTTTTATTTTATTTTATTTTATTTTATTTTTATTTATTATTATTTTTTAAATATATATATATATATGTATATTATTTTTAAAATTTATTTTAATTTATTTTTTTTAATTTATTTTTTTTAATTTAATTTTATTTATTTATATATATATTTTGTTATTGTTTTGTTATTGTTTTATTTATTATTAAAGTCCTATCCCATCTTCTCCTTCTTCGGATGAGGATCGGATATGTTTGAGGTTCAAATGGATCTGAACAAGACTTGCCAGATCACCGGTCCTGGCTCTGCGTTTCCAATTTCCATGGGTTATCTCTTAGGCCAGTGTTTCTCAACATGGGGGTCGGGACCCCTGGGGGGGTGTGGGGGTGTCAGGGGGGTCACCAAAGACCATCAAAAACATATTCTGTTGGCCATGGGGGTTCTGTGTGCCAAGTTTGGTTCAATTCCATCATTGGTGGCATTCAGAATGCTCTTTGATTGCAGGTGAACTATAAATTCTAGCAACTACAACTCCCAAATGTCAAGGTCTATTTTCCCCAAACTCCACCAGTGTTCACATTTGGACATATTGAATATTTGTGCCAGATTTGGTCCAGATACATCATTGTTTGAATTCACAGTGCTCTCTGGATTTAGGTGAACTACAGCTCCCAAACTCAAGGTCAATGCCCACTAAACCCTTCCAGTATGAGAGTTATGTGTGCCAAGTCTGGTTCAATTGCATTGTTGGTAGAGTTCAGAATGCTCTTTGAATTTAAATGAACTATAAATCCCGGCAACTACAACTCCCAAATGACAAAATCAATCCCCCCAACCCCACCAGTATTCAAATTTGGGTATATTGGGTATTTGTGCCAAAATACACCCTACATATCAGATATTTACATTATGATTCATAACATTAGCAAAATTATAGTTATGAAGTTGCAACAAAAATAATGTGGTTGGGGGTCACCACAACATGAGGAACTGCATTAAGGGGTCACAGACTTAGAAAGGTTGAGAACCACTGTCTTAGGACCTTTTGGAAAACCTTGAACTCTTTAACCTTTTGGAGAAAAATGGCATTCACAACCAGATGAAAATCTTAACCTTTTGGAAAAGTGTGATCTTCCAGAGAAGAGCCAAAAACTCGTTTGAGTAAAATCTTCTCTTCAGTGGTATAGAACCACATGTACTTATGCAAGGCAATTTGGTTCTCAGTTGTTAGACTGATAACTTAATTGTATCCGATCTGTTAGGAACAGAGATTATGCCAATGCACAAAATACAGCAATTCTTCAGAAGTGTTCTTTTCAGTGCCCAAAAACATCTACTCTCCCATAGAATATATCATGCTCTCAAGAGGCAAAAATAAAGTAGACTTCGCCGAAAGTAGACTTCGCCGAAATCTGGTTTACTCACAACCTTCATGTATTCAGCATACAGGCTCAATATACAGTGTATTGAAACTGCATTATATAGTCAGTGTAGACTCATATAATGAAGTTCAAAGCAGTAAAACTGCATTATATGGAGTCTACGCTGACCATATAAAGTAGTTTCAAATTGTGTAACATGACAGTGTAGATGAGGCATGAATGCGAATGCATAATTAATTAAGATTGCATCTACGTTGTAGAGTTAATGCAGTTTGGCATCACTTGAACTGCTGCAGGGTTCCGTCCTGGGCCCAGTCCTGTTCAACATTTTTATTAATGACTTAGATGAAGGGTTAGAAGGCAGGATTATGAAGTTTGCAGACGACACCAAATTGGGAGGGATAGCCAAGACTCCAGAGGACAGGAGCAGGATTCAAAACGATCTTAACAGATTAGAGAGATAATGGGCCAAAACTAACAAAATGAAGTTCAACAGTGACAAATGCAAGATACTCCCCTTTGGCAGGAAAAACGAAATGCAAAGATACAGAATGGGGGACAATGCCTGGCTCGAGAGCAGTACGTGAAAAAGATCTTGGAGTCCTCGTGGACAACAAGTTAAACATGAGCCAAAATGTGATGTGGCGGCAAAAAAAGCCAATGGGATTTTGGCCTGCATCAATAGGAGCATAGTGTGTAGAAATAGGGAAGTCATGCTACCCCTCTATTCTGCTTTGGTTAGACCACACCTGGAATATTGTGTCCAATTCTGGGCACCACAATTCAAGAGAGATATTGACAAGCTGGAATGTGTCCAGAGGAGGGCGACTAAAATGATCAAGGGTCTGGAGAACAAGCCCTTTGAGGAGCGGCTTAAGGAGCTGGGCATGTTTAGCCTGAAGAAGAGAAGGCTGAGAGGAGATATGATAGCCATGTATAAATATGTGAGAGGAAGCCACAGGGAGGAGGGAGCAAGCTTGTTTTCTGCTTCCTTGGAGACTAGGACGCGGAACAATGGCCTCAAACTACAAGAGAGGAGATTCCATCTGAACATGAGGAAGAACTTCCTGACTGTGAGAGCCGTTCAGCAGTGGAACTCTCTGCCCCGGAGTGTGGTGGAGGCTCCTTCTTTGGAAGCTTTTAAACAGAGGCTGGATGGCCATCTGTCAGGGGTGATTTGAATGCAATAGTCCTGCTTCTTGGCAGAATGGGGTTGGACTGGATGGCCCATGAGGTCTCTTCCAACTCTTTGATTCTATGATTCTATGCCATTGCTCGGTGTCATGGAGTCATAGGATCTATAGATATCCTTCACTGCCAAAGTGCATTGCTGCCTCATGAAACTACAATCTCCATGACTCCATAGCATTGAGCCACCGCACTTAAAGGGGTATCAAACTGCATGTATTTGACAGTGTGGATGCAACTCAGGTCTCAGGTGTGGAGCCGGAAAACTGCAGGATGAACCCGAAAGGCCAGAGCTAATCTGTGCAGAGATGGCATGCCGTCCTTTGAAGAGAAGTGGAGCTCGAAGCAGGGTTTCCGCAGGAAGCGCACCCAGGATGCTGACTCCGGATAATAACCTCCGAATGTCAATCGCAGCCACGTCCCGTGGTCTTTGTGGCTTTTTATCGCGCTTGTCGTTCCAGGAAATTTTGCTGGGTTCTAAGATCCATCTTGCTTCGCTTGGGTGGAGCACACCTTGTCTGAAAAACCTTTCTTGGAAGTTTTACGTGTTCAATGATTGACTTCAGCATCTACTGTACCTTGACTTACAGCCCACCTGTTCTCTCAAGACTGTCGTTTTACAAGATTCGAAGTTATGAGATCCTGGGAGTTGCAGTTTTAGCAGTGGTTCAGTGTTATGGGATCCTGGGGGCTGTAGTTTTACAAGATTTGTAGCATTGGCTCAATGTTAATGGGATCCTGGGAGTTCTAGCTTTAGCAGTGATTCAATGTTAATGTTATCCTAGGAGTTGTAGTTTTACAAGATCTTTAGCATTGGCTCAAAGTTATGGGGTCATGGGAGTCGTAGTTTTAGCAGCGGCTCAAAGTTATGAGATCCTGGGAGTTGTAGTTTTAAAATATTTTTAGCAGTGGCTCAATATTATGGAATCATGGGAGTTGTAGTTTTAGCAGTGGCTCAATGTTATGGGATCATAGAAGTTGTAGTTTTACAAGATCTTTAGCACTGGTTCAAAGTTATGTAATCCTGGGAGTTGTAGTTTTAGCAGTGGCTCAAAGTTATGGTATCTTGGGAGTTGTAGTTTTACAAGATCTTTAGCACTGGCTCAAAGTTATAGGATCCTGGGAGTTGTATTTTTACAAGATCTTTTGCAGTGGCTCAAAGTTATGGGATCATGGGAGTTGTAGCTTTAGCAGTGACTCAATGTTATGGGATCCTGGGAATTGTAGTTTTAAAAGATCTTTAGCGGTGGCTCAAAATTATGGGTTCATGGGGGTTGTAGCTTAGCAGTGGCTAAATCTTATGGAATCCTGGGAATTGTAGTTTTACAAGATCTTTAGCAGTGGCTCAGTATTATGGAATCATGGGAGTTGCAGTTTTAGTAGTGGCTCAGTGTTATGGGATCTTGGGAGTTATAGTTTTGCAAGGTCTTTAGCACTGGCTCAGAGTTATGGAATCCTGGGAGTTATAGTTTTACAAGCTCTTCAGCAGTGGCTCAATGCTATGGAATCCTGGGAGTTGTAGTTTTACAAGATCTTTAGCCTTTTGTGATAAAGAAGGTGCTGATGCACCATCAAGCTGCAGCTCCTAGGAATCTATAGCATTTAGACGTAGTAGTTTAAGTGGTGTTAAACTGCATTTGTTCTGCAGTGTAGATGTAACTGTCGCCACTCTGAAACACGGCGATGGTGGAGGTGGATTTTTGGGGAGGATGGTGTGCAGGATTTGGGGGAAAGGTCTTGATCCATCTCTCTTTCTTTGGTCCCCAGGAGCTGCTCTCGGAGGACGAAGCCGAGGACCTGGCCCCGGTATGTGGATGCTCTTCTTCTTGGCTACGGTTTGGGCTCTGCTCCGGCTGACCAGTATGCGTACGTGTGTCCATATGTGTGCTTCGGCGGCCTGGGGACAAGGAGAGCGCGTGTCTGGAGCACATCAACTCCTTGGCACACGGGAAACGTCAGAAGGCCAAACTGTAGGAAACAGGCATGGGGAATCCGGGCTTCTTCCTTTCCCCTTCCAGGATCTGGAACCGCCTTGGTGGTTTGCAAAAGATAAACACAAACTTGGGTTGCATTTAGATGGTAGACTTGATGGAGTTTGACCCTACTTGGACTGCCATGTCGCAGTGCTACGGAGTCAGGGGAGTTATAGTTTGGTGGGAATAGAAGGCCAAGGGCCTTGGGGAACTACAACTCCAAGGATTCCAAAGTATTGAGCTAGGAGAGTTCAAATGGAGTCAAACTGCATTCATTTTGGCAGAGGAAGCTAAAGACCTTGTCAAACTATTACTCCCAGGACCCCATAGCATTGAACCATGGTCATTAAAGTGGTGTCAAATCATTATTATTATTACTAGCCGTCCCCTGCTACGCGTTGCTGTGGCCCAGTCTGTGTATATGTGTTTTGTGTTTGTATATGTGTGTATATATATTTGCATATATATTTGTGTATATGTGTGTTTGCATATATATATATATATATATATATATATGTGTGTGTGTGTGTGTGTGTGTGGTTTTGCACATGCGTTGTAATGTGTATATATGCGTCTGTGTATGTGTATATATTTGTGTATTTCTGTGTTTATATGTGTATATGTATAGTGTGTATATGTGTGTATGTATGTGTGTATATGTGTATATTTGTGTGTGCTTGCGTATATATATATATATATGTGTGTCTGTATGTATGTGTGCATGAGTATATGTATATTTCTGTATTTATATGTGTATATGTATATTGTGTATATGTGTGTGCTTGGGTATATGCATATATGTGTGTTTATATGTGTGTATGTATGTGTATATGTATATGTGTGTAGGTGTATATGTAGGTGTGTATATGTATATGTGTGTAGGTGTATATGTAGGTGTGTATATGTGTATATTTGTGTGTGCTTGCATATATATGTGTGTGTGTCTGTCTGTATGTGTGCATGAGTATATGTATATTTCTGTGTTTATATGTGTATATGTATATTGTGTATATGTGTGTGCTTGTGTATATGCATATATGTGTGTTTATATGTGTGTATGTATGTGTATATGTATATGTGTGTAGGTGTATATGTAGGTGTGTATATGTATATGTGTGTAGGTGTATATGTAGGTGTGTATATGTGTATATTTGTGTGTGCTTGCATATATATGTGTGTGTGTATGTGTGCTTGTGTATATTCATATTTCTGTGTTTATATGTGTATATGTATATTGTGTATATGTGTGTGCTTGGGTATATGCATATATGTGTGCTTATATGTGTATGTGTATATGTATATGTGTGTAGGTGTATATGTAGGTGTGTATATGTGTATATATGTGTGTTCTTGCATATATGTGTGTGTGTGTATTCATATTTCTGTGTTTATATGTGTATATGTATATTGTGTATATGTGTGTGCTTGTGTATATGCATATATGTGTGTTTATGTGTGTATGTATGTGTATATGTATATGTGTGTAGGTGTATATGTAGGTGTGTATATGTGTATATTTGTGTGTGCTTGCGTATATGTGTGTGTGTGTATATATGTGCGTGTGTATATATATGTATGAACATATGTGTATATGTATATACAGTTTATTTTGGGGGGGTTTAAATTCCGTTCTGCTGGTTTTGTGTGTGTGTGTGTTTTTATGAGTGACGGTCACTCGTTGGCCTGATGGATGTATTGTGTCCAAATTTGGTGTCAATTCGTCAAGTGGTTTTTGAGTTATGCTAATCCCACAAACGAAGATTACATTTTTATTTATATAGATTATTATTATTATTATTATTATTATTATTATTATTATTATATATTGACAGGTTGCCCTGACATGACAAATAAATAAATTATTATTATTATTATTCAGAGGTCCCTTATTATTATTGTTGTTGTTGTTGTTGTTGTTGTTGTTATTATTATTAATTTATTATTATTAATTTATTATTATTATTATTATTATTATTATTATTATTATTATTATTATTATTATTATTATTATTATTATAAGATGTTTCAGATTGTTATGAAAGTCATGAATGGCTGTTTTCTCTCTTGTGTTTCCACCTTGTTCCTCTAGGTGGCAGTCTCTACTGGCTGGAACAGCCAAGGGAAGTTCCTTCACCATCTTGCCCAGCAGGGGGCGCTCCGGCAACGAAGGCAAGGTGAGTTTTTGGGGCTCATTTCCCTGGATTGGTGCATCCAGAACTGCCATGGCTCAATGCTATGGAATCATGGGAGCTGTAGTTTTACAAGGTCTTTTGCCTTTCTTGCCAAAGACTGCTAGTGCCTTATCAAACCACAACTCCCATACTTTCATAGCGTTGAGTTGGAGCACTTAAAGCACCATGGCTCAATGCTATGGAACCATGGGAGTTGAAGTTTTACCAGGTCCTTGGCCTTCCTTGCCAAAGAGTGCTATTGCCATGCCAAACTACAAATCCCATGATTTCATAGTGTAGAGTTGGAGCAGTTTAAGTCTATGGAACCATGGGAGTTGTAGTTTTACAAGGTCCTTGGCCTTCCTTGCCAAAGAGTGCTATTGCCATGCCAAACTACAAATCTCGTGATTTCATAGCTTAGAGTTGGAGCAGTTTAAATCTATGGAATCTTGGGAGTTGTAGTTTTACAAGGTCTTTTGTCTTCCCTGCCAAAGAGCGTTATTGCCTTGCCAAACTACAACTCCTATATTCACATTGTGTAGAGTCAGGGCAGTTAAAGTGCCATGGCTCAATGCTATGTAACTATGGGAATTGTAGTTTACAATGTCCTTTGCCTTCCTTGCCAAAGAGCGCTATTGCCTTGTCAAACTACAGTTCCCATGATTTCATAGCGTAGAGTTGGAGCAGTTTAAGTCTATGGAATCCTGGGAGTTGTAGTTTTACAAGGTCTTTTGCTTTCCCTGCCAAAGAGCGCTTGTGCCTTGCCAAACTACAACTCCTATACTTTCATAGCGTAGAATCGAGGCAGATAAAATGCCATAGCTCAATGCTATGGAATCCTGGGAGTTGTAGTTTTACAAGGTCTTTTTCTTTCCCTGCCAAAGAGCACTCGTGCCTTGCCAAACTACAACTCCTATACTTTCATAGCTTAGAATCGAGGCAGATAAAATGCCATGGCTCAATGCTATGGAATCCTGGGAGTTGTAGTTTTACAAGGTCTTTTGCCTTCCCTGCCAAAGAGCACTCATGCCTTGCCAAACTACAACTCCTATACTTTCATAGCGTAGAATCGAGGCAGATAAAATACCATGGCCCAATGCTATGGAATCATGGGAGTTGTCGTTTTTGCAAGGTCCTTTGCCTTTCCTGCTAAATAGTGTTAGTGCCTTGCCAAACTACAATTCCCATGATTTCATAGCGTAGAGTAGGGACAGTTTAAGCGTATGGAATCCTGGGAGTTGTAGTTGTACAAGATCTTTTGCGTTCCCTGCCAAAGAGTGTTAGTGTCTTGCCAAACTACAACTCTCATACTTTCATAGCGCAGAGTCAGGGAACCATGGGAGTTGTTGTTTTTGCAAGGTCCTTTGCTTTTCCTGCTAAAGAGTGCTTGTGCCTTGCCAAACTACAACTCTCATAATTCCATAGTGTAGAGTCGGGGCAGTTTAAATCTATGGAATCCTCGGAGTTGCAGTTTTACAAGGTCATTTGCCTTCCATGCTGAAGAGCGCTTGTGCCTTGCCAAACTACAACTCCCAGTATTTCATAGCATAGAAGTAGGGCATTTAAAGTCAAAGTGCTACAGCTCAATACTATGGAATCCTGGGACTTTTGGGAATTGTAGTTCCCCCAAAGGCACTCTTCTACATGTTTTATTGCCTCTTGACCTATGACTATTTTCTCCCCAGCTGGCAAAGGGAAGCGCTCCAGACCTCGCCGGCCCAGCGCTGTCTCTGCCGCGCACTACGAAGGTGAGAAATGTGGCATCTAGCCCTTATTCCCGGGTTCAATCTTGCTTCGTATTTTGGAGAACCCTCAGCGGATAATCTCTAGTCCAGGCATGGGCCAACTTTGGCCCTCCCTCCAGGTGTTTTGGACTTCAACTCCCACAATTCCTAGCAGCCTACCGGCTGTTAGGAATTGTGGGAGTTGAAGTCCAAAACACCTGGAGGGAGGGCCAAAGTTGGCCCATGCCTGCTCTAGCCAGACAATGCAAAATTTTGGGGTGGGTTGTAGTCCCCAAAAGCAACCCTTCCCCGCTTTCTCCTGCTTTCTTTCCCTCCAAAATTGCACTCTTAATATGCTCAGGAGTCTGACCTCGTATTTCTTTATTTCAGTCCAAAGCACAGAGGGACGAGCTGGGATCCAGGCAGGTAACTTTTTTTGAGCTGGGATGTTTTGGGAGGGAGGGAGGATTTGGGAGAATTTGTAAGACTTAATTAATGACAACATTAAGAGACAACGTGTCTGTGTTTTGCTGGCAATAATTGTGTTTCGGCCCCTTTTCGTTGGGTGCATCAACAACAGGTCTGTACAACAAGGGACGAAATTACATTAGGTGAAACTTCTATGGGCCACATACAGGTTTTTAGTACTCTACTTTCCAAGCAAGGTATAAATAATGAATAAACTATTTTGCAAATAAAGAGGGGAGTTTCAATTCATAATTAGCTGTGTTTACTCAAGTCTAACACGCCATCAAATATAATACACACCTGAACTCAAAAAAAAAGGCATTTGCAGCCCATGTAATGCTCAGCACTAAGGTTACCATATTAGTACTACTTACTTAGGTGATCCCTCGTTGTATGAGCAAAATTGTCCTCCAAGTGCGGTGTCCTGGTGGTGAGATGTGTTATTGTTGTTGTTCATTCGTTCAGTCGTCTCCGACTCTTCGTGACCTCATGGACCATCCCACACCAGAGCTCCCTGTCGGCTGTCACCACCCCCAGCTCCTTCAAGGTCAGTCCAGTCCCTTCAAGGATGCCGTCCATCCATCTTGCCCTTGGTCGGCCCCTCTTCCTTTTGCCTTCCACTTTCCCCCGCATCATTGTCTTCTCTAGGCTTTCCTGTCTCCTCATGATGTGGCCAAAGTACTTCAACTTTGTCTCTAGTATCTTTCCCTCCAGTGAGCAGTCGGGCTTTATTTCCTGGAGGATGGATGGTTGGATCTTCTCGCAGTCCAAGGCACTCTCAGAACTTTCCTCCAACACCACAGCTCAAAAGCATCGATCTTCCTTCGCTCAGCCTTCCCTAAGGTCCAGCTCTCACATCCGTAGGTGACTACAGGGAATACCATGGCTTTGACTAGGCAATGGATCTTGGTTGCCAGTCTGATGTCTCTGCTCTTCACTATTTTATCGAGATTGGACATTGCTCTCCTCCCAAGAAGTAAGCTTCTTCTGATTTCCTGGCTACAGTCTGCATCTGCAGTCATCTTTGCACCTAGAAATACAAAGTCTGTCACGGCCTCCACAGTTTCTCCCTCTATTTTCCAGTTGTCAATCATTCTTGTTGCCATAATCTTGGTTTTTTTGACGTTTAGCTGCAACCCGGCTTTTGCGCTTTCTTCTTTCACCTTGATTAGAAGGCTCCTCAGCTCCTCCTCGCTTTCGGCCATCAGAGTGGTGTCATCTTCATATCTGAGGTTGGTAATGTTTCTTCCAGCAATTTTCACCCCAGCTTTGCATTCATCCAGCCCCGCACATCGCATGATGTGTTCTGCATACAAGTTAAAAAGGTTGGGTGAGAGGATGCAGCCTTGCCGTACGCCTTTCCCAATCTTGAACCAGTCTGTTTTTCCGTGGTCAGTTCTGACTGTTGCTACTTGGTCCTTGTACAGATTCCTCAGGAGAGAGACAAGGTGGCTTGGGATGCCCATCCCACTAAGAACTTGCCACAATTTATTATGATCCACACAGTCAAAGGCTTTAGAATAGTCAATGAAGCAGAAGTAGATGTTTTTCTGAAACTCCCTGCCTTTCTCCATTATCCAGCGGATATTGGCAATTTGGTCTCTCTTTCCTCTGCCTTTTCTAAACCCAGCTTGAACATCTGGCAACTCTCGCTCCATGTATTGCTGGAGTCTTCCTTGCAGGATCTTGAGCATTACCTTACTGGCATGAGAAATAAGGGCAACTGTACGGAAGTTTGAGCAGTCTTTCGCATTTCCCTTTTTTGGTTGTTAAAAATACACTTAAGTGTCTGAGGGGGGAAAGGAAGGGGCTTGAGTCACCTGATTCCACCTTAAATGGGTCACTGTGGCATAGACACCAAGAACTGGGAAGCCCTGGCCCTTGAGCGCTCTAGCTGGAGGTCAGCTGTGACCAGCAGTGCTGTAGAATTTGAAGAGGCACCATATTAGTATAAGTAAGGTAAAAGTCCTCTGACATTAAGTCTAGTTGTGTTTGACTCTGGGGGTTGGTCCTCATCTCCATTTCTAAGCCAAACAGCCGGCGCTGTCCATAGGCACCTCCAAAGTCATGTGGCCAGCATGACTGCATTGAGCACTGTTACCTTCCCGCAGAAGCGGTACCTATTGATCTACTCACCCCTAGAGAGCCAGACTTTCCACGAATAGGCGGTCATGGGGAGATGTCGTTTTTCTTGCCGGCCACTCACTTGCCTGATTCTTGCCTCCTCCGTCCTCTCCAGATGCCAATGGGACCATCCATGGATGGGCAGAAGCCAAACTCAATACCACGAGCCCCCTCCGTTACGACCGGGGCCGGCGGGAGTTCACGGTGGTCAAGAGGGGCCTCTATTACCTGTATTGCCAGGTAAGGGCCTAGCGGAGGGGTGGGAGGTCTTTGTGGCAGGGGGCTTATGGGTAAAGAGAGCATGGCATCCTGGGAATGTGGATTTAACTATGGAATCCTGGGAATGTGTAGTGCATTGTGGCACCAGAGCACTTTTATAAGTGGCAAAACTACAAATCCTGGAATTCCATAACATAGAGCAGGCATGGGCAAATTTGGGCTACCAGCTGTTAGGAATTATGGGAGTTGAAGTCCAAAACACCTGGAGAGCTGAAGTTTGCCCAAGCCTGGTCTACATTAGGAAGAACTTCCTGATGGGAAGAACTGTTCAACAATGGGATATGCTGCCACAGAGTGTGGCAGAGTCTCTTTCTCTGGATTATTATGATTATTATGATCGCCTTCTGTGATCCACCTCGGAGATTAAGATCTTCTGGGGAGGCCCTGCCCTCGATCCCACCTTCCTCGCAAGGACAACTGGTGGGGATGAGTGACAGGGCCTTCCCAGTGGTGGCCCCTTGGCTATGGAACTCCCTCCCTATTGAAATTGGAGCAGCCCCCTTCCTCCTGACATTCAGGAAGGAAGTAAATACATGGTTATGTGACCAAGCTTTCGGACAGCAAAGCTTCTAGTGCAATAAGACAATAAGGCATTGAATTTTGCCTTTATAATGTTGGAAACTACTTTGAGTTCCCTCGGGGCAGAGGGGGGGGGGTATATAAATGTAGTAAATAAATTATTATTATTATTTATGACATAAATTATTATGTGGTATATATTATGTGCGGCGGAGTGGTATATAAATGTAGTAAATAAAGAAATAATAATAATAATAATAATTATTATTATTATTATTTACAACATAAATTATTATGTGGTATATATTATGTGCAACGGAGTGGTATATAAATGTAGTAAATAAATTATTATTATTATTATTATTACTATTATTATTTGTAACCTGCTTTTTCCTTTAAGACTAGTATGAAAAGTAGGGCAGGTGACCATCCAAAAAGCCTGACATCCAACTCAAAAATGGCCCACCATAAGATACTATTTTAAAAACTTTAAAATGTACAAACATTACAGTGGAATATTCTGCTGCTTGGGAGTCCAGTGGCGCCTCCTTCTCTGGAGGCTTTGAAACAGAGACTGCATGGCCATCTGTTGGGAAGGTTTGGATGGTGTCTTCCTGCCTGGGAGAATGGGGTTGGATGGGATAACCCTTGGGGCCTCTTCCAGCTCATCCCTGCATTTCCATCTTGAATAATTGTGTGCTTCTGATCTCCCCGTTGCCACCTTCTCCTTCCCGCCCAGGTCCATTTCAATGAAGGGAAGACCATTTACATGAAGCTGGACGTGATGCTGGACGGGGAGCTGGCCTTGCGTTGCTTGGAGCAGTTCCCCCCGACCAGCTCCGGACCCCAGGAGCCCGAACTCAAAGTGTGCCAAGTCTCCGGCCTGGTTCTGCTGACCCCCGGAGAGTCCATCCGGCTCCGGACGATCCCCAAGGTCCGGCTGAAGGCCGAGCGCTACCTCACCTACTTTGGGCTTTTCCAGGTCCACTGAGGGCAGGAGGAAATTAGCCCCGTTTTGGGGGGAGCCGGATTGGTGGGTTGCCTGGAGACGAAAGGGAATGTGAACTATGCATCCCAGCCTTGCAGGTTTCTCCGCTTCGAACAGCACCGGATTGAGTCAGTGGCCCTTTGGTCCTCCTTTGTTTCTGATCACCGCTTGCCTCCTTTCCTGCTAATGACTCCTAAGCCCACTTTTCCATGTTGACATAAGAAGGAGTGAGACCTGAAACTGCCTTGTCTAATTTTATGGTGCAACAAGCCCAAGGATAATAGGGAAAGGATGCCATAAGTTGCCCACCGGTGCCTTGCGATACCTTTTGAATCCTGTTACGAACGGATGGACCATAAACATAAACCAGCAGAAGGGCACATCTACACTGTCCACTTAACTCAGTTTCGGACTGGTATTGAAGAAAGCGTTGGGCAGAAATCCTGGAACTTGTCTGAGGATTATGATGACACAAACCACAGTGCACTGATGCGCATTAAGGGATTTCTTTCGCACACTTTAGTAGCCATTCGCTCTCTAGCTTCTGCAGTTTGAAGCTAGCTTTGAACTGCATTAAACGGTCAATGTAGATGGGGCCGAAATGGACCAAAAGGGAGTACCGGAATATGTTACTTCCATAGACTGTGACTGTTCTTGCTTTCTTGGATTGTGTTTTCTTGTCAACGCTGCTAAGCTTTCTCCCCTGCCATCCTAAACAACTCCTTCCTTCCTTCCTTCCTTCCTTCCTTCCTTCCTTCCTTCTCTTTCCTTCCTCCTTCTCCTCCTTCTTCCCTTTTCCTTCTTCCTTCCTTCCTTCCTCCCTTCCTCCATCCTTCCTCCCTTCCTCCACCCACCCTTCCTTCCTTCCTTCCTTCCTTCCTTCCTTCCTTCCTTCCTTCCTTCCCTTCTTCCTTCCTTCCTTCCCTTCCTTTCTTCCTTCCTTCCTTCCTTCCTTCCTTTCTTCCTTCCTTCCTTTCTTCCTTCCTTCCTTTCTTCCTTCTTCCTTCCTTCTCTTCCCTTTCCTTCTTCCTCCCTCCTCCCTCCTCCCTTTCCTTCCTTCCTTCTTTCTTTCTTCCCTCCCTCCTCCTTCTTTTTCCCTTCTTCCTTCCTCCTCCCTCCCTCCTTTCCTTCCTTCCTTCCTTCCTTCCTTCCTTCCTTCCTTTCTTCTCCTTCCTTTTTCCTTCCCTCCCCCTCCCTCCCTCCTTCCCTCCCTCCCTCCCTCTCTTTCCTTCCTTCCTCCCTCCCTCCCTCCCTCCCTCCCTTCCTCCCTTCCTTCCTTCCTTCCTTTCCAGTTCTCCTAGCAGGGAGTTCCAACATGTGACTCTTCCACTCTATTGTGTCGAATGCCTTTTCTATTGCAAAAGGCATTTGACACAATAGAGTGGAAGGGATATAATTGTGTGAAAGGGATTCCATAAGCCAGTCATTAGGAAGTCGTTTCTGATGTCAAGTTGCATGTGGATGTTATGTCAACTACTCTTATGGTATCTCTTCCATTAAACAAGCAACTAAACATAAGGGCTAGAAGGCATGATCATCAAGTTTGCAGACGACACCAAATTGGGAGGGATAGCCAATACTCCAGAGGACAGGAGCAGGATTCAAAACGATCTTGACAGATTAGAGAGATGATGGGCAAAACTAACAAAATGAAGTTCAACAGGGACAAATGCAAGAGACTCCACTTAGGCAGGAAAAACGAAATGAAAAGATACAGAATGGGGGACAATGCCTGGCTCGAGAGCAGTACGTGTGAAAAAGACCTTGGAGTCCTCGTGGACAACAAGTTAAACATGAGCCAACAATGTGATGTGGTGGCAAAAAAAGCCAATGGGATTTTGGCCTGCATCAATAGGAGCATAGTGTCTAGATCTAGGGAAGTAATGCTACCTCTCTATTCTGCTTTGGTTAGACCACACCTGGAATATTGTGTCCAGTTCTGGGCACCACAATTCAAGAGAGATATTGACAAGCTGGAATGTGTCCAGAGGAGGGCGACTCAAATGATCCAGGGTCTGGAGAACAAGCCCTATGAGGAGCGGCTTAAGGAGCTGGGCATGTTTAGCCTGAAGAAGAGAAGGCTGAGAGGAGATATGATAGCCATGTATAAATATGTGAGAGGAAGCCACAGGGAGGAGGGAGCAAGCTTGTTTTCTGCTTCTTGGAGACTAGGACGCGAAACAATGGCTTCAAACTACAAGAAGGAGATTCCATCTGAACATGAGGAAGAACTTCCTGACTGTGAGAGCCGTTCAGCAGTGGAACTCTCTGCCCCGGAGTGTGGTGGAGGCTCCTTCTTTGGAAGCTTTTAAACAGAGGCTGGATGGCCATCTGTCAGGGGTGATTTGAATGCAATCTTCCTGCTTCTTGGCAGGGGGTTGGACTGGTTGGCCCAGGAGGTCTCTTCCAACTCTTTGATTCTATGATTCTGTGATTCTATGAGTGGTTCTCAACCTTCCTAATGCCATGACCCCTTAATACAGTTCCTCATGTTGTGGTGACCCCCAACCATAAAATTATTTTTGTTGCTACTTCATAACTGTAATTTTGCTACTGTTATGAATTGTAATGTAAATATCCGATATGCAGGATGAATTTTCATTCACTGGACCACATTTGGCACAAATACCCAATATGCCCAAATTTGAATACTGGTGGGGTTGGGGGGGATTGATTTTGTCATTTGGGAGTTGTAGTTGCTGGGATTTATAGTTCACCTCCAATCAAAGAGCATTCTGAACCCCACCAACGATGGAATTGAACCAAACTTGGCACACAGTTCTCCCATGACCAACAGAAAATACTGGAAGGGTTTGGTGGGCATTGACCTTGAGTTTTGGGAGTTGTAGTTCACCTACATCCAGAGAGCACTTTGGACTCAAACAATGATGGATCTGGACCAAACTTGGCATGAATATTCATATGCCCAAATGTGAACACTGGTGGAGTTTGGGGAAAATAGACCTTGACATTTGGGAGTTGTAGTTGCTGGGATTTATAGTTAATCTACAATCAAAGAGCATTCTGAATGCCACCAACGATGGAACTGAACCAAACTTGGCACACAGAACTCCCATGACCAACAGAAAATACTGGAAAAGTTTGGTGGGCATTGCCCTTGAGTTTGGGAGATATAATCCACCTACATACAGAGAGCATTGTGGACTGAAAGAATGATGGATCTGCACCAAACTTGGCATGAATATTCAATATGCCCAAACGTGAACACTGGTGGAGTTTGAGGAAAATAGACCTTGGCATTTGGCAGTTGCTGGGATTTATAGTTCACCTACAATCAGAGAATATTCTGAACCCCACCAACGATAGAATTGGGCCAAACTTCCCACACAGAGCCCCCATAACCAACAGAAAGTACTGTGTTTTCTGGTGGTCTTTGGCGACCCCTCTGAGAACCCCCTTGTGACCCCCTCCCCCAGGGGTCCCAACCCCCAGGTTGAGAAACACTGCATTAAACAAACAACTAAACGTAAGAGAGGTTGACATAACTGTTGGATTATACTATGCACCTATATCCCCTGTTTCATGAAACTAGATCAGAAAATGATGCCAAATTTTATTATTACTAACTCAGTGGTAATATTGTCAAAACTGTATCAGTGAACCATTTGAAATTGTACAGCAAGATAATCAAACACCTTCACAAGTTGTGGATAGTTTCATAGCTCATAGTATGAAATGACAAATATATGTGCCTTCTTACAGTATTTGGTACCAAGTGGATACCAGGATAGCTGTTGTATCTTGTTTGTTATATGCTTTCAAGGTGCTCCTGGCTTATGAATCCATTGCGGCTGCATCCGTGGGCCTGAGGCCCTTCATTTCAACAGGGTTCACAATTACTCACTGTATTAATGTATTGTCGAAGGCTTTCATGGCTGGAATCACTAGGTTCTTGTGGGTTTTTTCGGGCTATAGGGCCATGTTCTAGAGGCATTTCTCCTGACGTTTCGCCTGCATCTATGGCAAGCATCCTCAGAGGTAGTGAGGTCTGTTGGAATTAGGAAAATGGGTTTATAGATCTGTGGAATGACCAGGGTGGGACAGTTGAAACATTCACACCTAGCTCCAGCAGAGAAGCGCTCTCTGCCCCACCCCAGCCATTCCACAGATATATAAACCCATTGTCCTAATTCCAACAGACCTCACTACCTCTGAGGATGCTTGCCATAGATGCAGGCGAAACGTCAGGAGAAATGCCTCTAGAACATGGCCCTATAGCCCGAAAAAACCCACAAGAACCTACTCACTGTATTGTGTATCCGTGCGAAGTCTAGGGAAGTATTGCCTATGGATATGGGGACATACTGCATTTCTGTACCCATGGGGATAGGGAAAGACAGAAATATCAGTTTTGCACTGAATTGAACCAGAATTATGAATAGTCTTCAAAAAGTATTACTCTTTCAAAACTTTATCAGAGTGAGAAGGCAATTACAGTATCTGTGAGATACACCAAATGTTTGGTTTATCAGTGTCTGACAAATTATGGCTTCTCCGTCCATTTTCTAGGTCTTCTGAGTGATTCTATGGAATGCCCCAGCCAGAAATTACCATAGAATCACCTGCAGTTCTAGCTTCATTCACTAGGTGGCATACTTTTCTTTAATCAATAAATAGGTTCAATGTATTGTCGAAGGCTTTCATGGCCAGAATCACTGGGTTGCTGTAGGTTTTTTCGGGTTATATGGCCATGTTCTAGAGCAGTGGTTCTCAACCTTCCTAATGCCGCGACCCCTTAATACAGTTCCTTATGTTGTGGTGACCCCCAACCATAACATTATTTTCATTGCTACTTCACAACTATAATTTTGCTCCTGTTATGAATCATCTTGTAAATATCCAATATGCAGGATGTATTTTCATTCATTTGGCACAAATACTCGATACGCCCAAATTTGAATACTGGTGGGGTTGAGGGGAGGATTGATTTTGTCATTTGGGAGTTGTAGTTGCTGGGATTTATAGTTCACCTACAATATC